CTTTAGGAATATGTTGTATAACTGATGATAATATAGATTTTAAGGCTATTAGAAAAACATAATCTACGGTTATAGATATTAATGGTTCTACTTTTTTACAAGACTTGGAAGTAGGAGACTTCTTGGTTGCTCCTTCTTTTGACCTCTTTTTCATTGGTACTCCACTTCGCTCTACTTTTTTTTTGATGTATAGCAATTTCGAGGTTCGTCATCATTTTCATCAACATATTCAACATATTCAATATATTCATCATCATCTTTTATTTTCTCTTCTTCCTCCTCACCAACTTCTTCCTCATCTATGTATTCTTCTTTGAAATCCTCAGGTTCTTCCTTATCTTGGGCTGAAGGCACTAAAGCATATATATGATTAAGCTTTTTAACTCGCTTGACTTCAAGACAATTAATCTTTGTATAACCAACCTTTTTACAGACTGAGCAAAGATGAACAATTTGTTTAACTGGTGCTTTTTGTATTACCTTTCTAACAGCTTTCTTTGTGCATTTGTATTTCTAACCTGAGGCTCTGCAAAGAGGCTCCTTCTAACATTAGTTACTTTTCATCCTAACCTTTTACTAAGTTCATCATAGATATGTTATCCTAAGACTGAAAGATCTGTTGTTATACCTAAATAATCCAAATCCTTTACTAAACGAACTATATATTCATGTTCAGCTTGTGATTCTTTTTGTAGAAATGAATGTGATAAAGTTTTTTTACTGAAAGAGAAAACGCCTACACGTCTACCAGTTTCTAACTATTTATCAATAAATTGGTTAAAAAAGGCATTAAGATCTGCTGGATTTCCAATTTTAATCCGTAATTCCAAATTTTCAGGTAAATGGCTATAAAGAATAGGTAAAGCATCTGCAAATGGTAAAGCATCTACACGTGGTCTAATCCATTTTTCATATATTTCTGGAGTATCAATAGAAAGAAATTTATCAGATATAAGTGCTTTCATAAAAACCTATGCTGAACCTAGTTTTATTGCACGATATGTTTCTCGAAACCATGCTATAAATAATGCTGGAGTATTGATCGCATTTCTTGCATTATTATTAAATGGATTAGGAGGAGTAAACTTTCCCGCTATTTTCCTGCTAATACATTAGTTTTCACAGCATCATTAAAGGCTGCCACTCCTAATGAATTGCCATAATTAATTACCTGCATAACCTTATTATAATAGTCATCTGGTAACGCTAATATATTGCAGTATTTAAGCTAAAAGTGGGGCTATTGCATTTAAAACTTCTGGTAAAGTAGCCATATTTCCAAGTGGATTGTTTTGTAAATTCAAAATAATTTGTCGTGAATTTATTTTTTTTTGCTTCCATTTTTCATATCGATCATATACTCAATCCCGATTATATTCTAATAATCCTATATCATTTCTGCTTTGACGATAATATTTTTTTAAATTCTGAGCCTGTTGAGTACATGCAGTATATCTTCTTTTTCACCATTTTTCATAAACATTTTCATATACCTTATCTCTAAGATTATTGATTTTATCATCTCTTTGTTGTCGGGCTTGTCTCTCATCCCTCTATGCTTGCTCCATCATCTGTACATTTCGAAGACAATCATTTTTAAATTTGTTATATCATTTATAATCCTATTGATCTGCCCATAGGATGCATTAAGCAAATCTTGTAAGTTCGCATTTTCCTGAGCATACCTTTGATTATGTTGTCGAATAATTGTTATTGAGATCTGTATTCCATTCAATGTATTTCTTGGATCAAATGATGTATCGCCATTGATATATCCTTCAATCTGATCTAAAGCTGTACCAATATTTCTTAAGATATCTGGTAGTGCCATATTTTTTGATGTTTTTCTTCAGAAGGTTTATTACTCTTATTTACTTTTTTTTCGCTAGACTCAAAAAAGGGCTATTGCAACCAGTTTCTTGTAATAAAAGTCCAGCTGGAAAATTTTGAGTTAATTGTTTCTTCTGATAGTCTTGACCAAAGGAATGTGATATCTTAAGAATTTGACTTTTGAGCTTTTCTACTGTATCTTCTAGTAGAATAATTCAGTTATCTTGAACGACTAATACCTTCTCCTTTAGATTTAAATAATCCTGACATTTTTTGAGATTATGTAGGATAGAGCAGTATTCTGCTTTTATTCTATTTAAATCATCTTCTCGTAAGATAAGATTTTTTTCAAGATATTTGATATATAACTCACATCGTTCTAGATCGTTTATGAGCTTATGAATCTTTTCCTTATTTTTAATGGTAATAGTTTCCTCTTTAGTTAACTTTATTCGCAATTCTAAATTGCTATCTAATAAATCGATATATGCCTGCTCAGCTCCCATTGATCTATATATTTAAAATCGTTGTCGATCACGTGGTGTAACGTTTATAATACCCTGTGTAAATTATTCATTATAAGTCACATCACATTACGTTTTACGTTGCATTGTGTTAAAAATCATTGTCTAAGCCTATTATTTTAATTCAATCATCTATATATTTAAAATCGTTGTCGATCATGTAGTATAACGTTTATAATACCCTGTATAAATATCTATTCATTATAAGTCACATGATCACGTTATATTTTACGTTGCATTGTGTTAAAAATCATTGTCTAAGCCTATTGTTTTAATTCAATCATCTATATATTTAAAATCGTTGTCGATCACGTGGTATAATGTTTATAATACCCCATATAAATATCTATTCATTATAAGTCACATGTTCACGTTACGTTTTACGTTGCATTGTGTTAAAAATCATTGTCTAAGCCTATTGTTTTAATTCAATCATTATCTATTATGTCTAATATTCTCTATACTATATCTGTTCTTTATTATTAAAAATCTGAATGCTATTTTTTCGTATCTAAAGAAATCGTGTTGCATTTATAATCACGTGATTATAGATTCTTCGAAGAATCTGGAGAATCTTTTACCACGAGGAGTCATTATACAACGAGCGTGTGTCGCATCAAATCGTTAGTCATTAATCATGTGTTCGTGTTTAAAAGAATCACGTTACGTTCACTAATCACATAATTACGGGCTCCAAAGAATCTGAAAATTCTCTTATTGATCACGTGATTGTGAACTTCAAAAGAACTCTTTTCTTTAGAAGTTTCTTCTTTGAAAATATATATCGGTAAAATTTTAAAACATA